CTAATGTGAAAAACGGCCTCGTTAGGAGGGTCTGTTTGTAGCTCGAAAATGACTGCCTCGTGACAAATGCGTGATTGGGAAGTTACAGGAAGATGATCATTACTGAAATGAAACGGGAACTGGCTTTAATGGCGGCGGCCAGCAGCTGGGGCGCAGCAAATGAATGTCTTCCTGTTTTGATTGTGGGAGTCGGGCTTTCAGGCTCCCCTTCGGGAGTCTGCGCGGAGCTGAGAACTTCTCCTCGGCGCTCTGGGCTGGGCTGGGCTGGGCTGGGGCTCGGGCCAGGGCAGGGCGATGCCGGGAGCGTGGGTCCCACCTGCCGGTGCCCCCCTTTGCCTGTGTGTGTCCCCCGACGCTGCAGCGAGGGCACAGCTGTGGCTGAGGGGGCAGCCGCACCGGCAGTCTCAGGGCCGGTGGCACTGCTCGCTGCTGGACTGCTCTCCGGGCCACCCGGCCAGGGGTGGTTGGAGGTGGCCATCTCAATTCACCTTTGCCACTGTGACCCCTCCTTCCTGCTAGTCCAGGCCCCAGGGCTGGGAAGGCGCCCCCAGGGCAGGGTTGGGGACGGGCGCAGCCCATGGAAGCAGGGTGCCGGGCTGGGGGGGCTGCCGCTCCCGGATGCCCTGATGCCCTCGGGGACGGGTGTCCCACGAGGGAGGCCCGGTGTGCAGCAGCTGCTTAACCCGTGCCGGCCAGTGGGCTGGGTCTCAGACCGTTCTTGGGGCCCTGTCCCTGCCGGGAAAGTGGTTCTTTGTGGAACACGCCCCCGCCGGCCCCCAACGCGCATTTTCCAGCCTGACGCGTCGCTTCTGCGTTAGCATCCCGGAGGTTCCGAGCAGGTCCCCTCGCTTAATTGCGTTAGGCCCCTGTGTCCCTCATGGACTTGCTGTTCGGGTCTAATAAAACAATTATACACATTGTGGGGTATGAGATTAGCTCGGACTGCGGGGCGGGGCCGGCTGACAGGGAAGGTTAAGCCATCAAAACGAAAACTAAAACTGTAATGTCACCGGAAACGGCGTTCCGGACTCCGGGCCGCCCGCACGTCCCTCTGAGCAGCAGGCCGCCGGCCGCAGCCGCTGCGTGGGGCGGGCACCGCTTCCGCCGCCACATTAGCCGTGGCAGTCCCAACCTGAACTGACATCACAGGCCGTTAAAATATTATCAATCGCGGTATGATGAATCCCCCAGCACACAGGCCTGGGGTACATGTTTGGAGTGCTGCTGCTTTAATGCGTGCCGCGTGACGCGGTGAACTCCAGGACACTCGACGCATGGAAATGTGTCTGTCTCCTTCCCGAGCCGCAGGCGCGTGGGGCGTCCAGGAGCCACCGGGTCCGTGGCCGTGTCGGGCCGTGTCGGTGGACACCCGCCCTGGGTGCTGGCCAGCACGCGACGGCGGCTGTCTGGCCTTCCGCCGGCTGCCCGGCTGCCGGCCCCATTTGGCACGGGCTGTGATTCCCGGCTCTTCCCGTTTCTCATTCACTCGGGTTTTATTGCTGTGTAATTTTCTTATTCTAAAATAAAAGCTCTCCAACAAAAATTACTATGCATTAGGCCGCGGTAGCCTACTCAAATGGATATTAATACAGTTTATCTCTAAAAGGACGAATAATGTATTTGAGACAGATAAAAGACCCTCCACTAAATGAGGAATGTTAATATCTTATGGCACGGCTAATAAAGAGATATTTCACAGGGGAGGTTTGTTTTATGACTTTTGATACAACAGCCTTATCATCTGACACATCTTAAACGCTACAATTCGGTGCACAGATTCATCTCTTCTGTAGCAGCGGCTGCTCTTCGCGAGACTTGAATTCAGAACAGACCTCAGGCGCTAATTACTGGGGGGGGGGCGGTGTGTCACACAACTCATCCGTGGCGAAAGTTGAACGCTTATCATACATTTTTGAGAAATGTCTTGTTGTGGTTGTTTTTTTCCTCCTCCCGCAGAGACATAACATTTGTTTTTGTTGTGTTTAAGGCAGGGCTTAAATTAATTTAGCCCGGCGACACACGTGCGGAGACTGAGCGTGCTGCTAAATAATTCCCCGGAATAAACAGCCCAGGAACCCAGCCCATTAATTTACGGCTTTCCTGATGCGGGCGGACGCGGGGGCGGTGGGAGGACCCCCCGAATATTAACATAAAACAAATGCGCTTTATTCTTCCTCATATTCCTCCCTCCCCCCCCCCCCCGCCCCGCGCTCACCCACGGCCCCCTCTCTAATTATCCACGAGGTCAGTAAGCAGAATTGGGGAGAAGCGGGGAGATCAATACAAATTATCCCTGAGCAAACCAGTGCTGACAGCCTGAATCGCAGCATATGTTTACCCAAAATCAGGCAATTTATCTTAATATCAGCAAAGTAATGCAGTGCGGGTGAAAGGTCAGGCAATCTCTCCCCCTCATAATTACCCAGTTCTAAAACAGGAAAGTGGTATTGATTGGCCTGGCTCGGGGCTCGGTGGCTGGACGTGCCGGAGCCCGGCCCCGGCCGGCCGGGCCTCGCCGCCGCGTAAGCCCGACAACACGCCGAGGATTTACGAGACGGCCGAGGGCGCTGAGGCTTCTGCCCTCCCGCCGCGGAGCCTGCCCGCCAAGCCTCCGGGAGCCCGCGTCTTCCGGGGTGGGGGGGTGGGTGGTGGGTGCTGTGCGGGAGGGCACTCAGAGAGGGTGTGCGGGCTCTGCCCAGGGCGGCTGCCCTGGGAGGCCCAGCGGCAAGCCGCGTCCCCCTGCCCGCGGCGAGCAAGACCCTCCCCGAGCCGGGGACGCGGGCCCGGCTGCAGCTTCCAGACCAGGGCGGCTGTGTCCAGCTCTTCCACGTCAGCTCCCGGGCTTGGGGGGGCCCAGCCCCCCATGGAGCGTCAGGCTGCTCCACGGCCTCCCCACCCCCACCCGGTGCGGGCACCGCGGAGACCTCCTGGGCTCGATGACATCATCTCATCTCCTGAGCAGCCCCCCGCCCCGGGCCCAGCTCGCTGGCCGGCTCCGGATGTCAGCACGTTCTTCGGGCCGAAGCAGGAGGTGAGAGGTGGCCCCCCGGTGCCACGGCCCGCACGCATTTCTGGTCCTGCGAGCAGAGAGCCGGCTGGCCGACCCGGAGCACCGGAGGGAGAACGCCGCAGCCCGAGTGAGAGGGTGCGGCTGTGACCAGTCGTAAAGCTTCTGGGAGCCTGTGTGAGCACGCCTATCACCTGTCAGGGGCGTCTGCCTGGGATCAATAGCCGCCGCCCATCCGTCTTGCTGGCCACCTTTCATCGGGCCGATTCATTAAGTCAGACCGTCACGGCGATTAGCTGGGAGAGGGGAGAGGCCCTGATGCGCTGGGGTGCACAGTGGGCCGCGGTTTTGTTCCCTCCTCGGGAGACGCGGTACTTTATCTCGCCCTGCTCGGACCCCGCGGCTGGGGGAGGCCCATCTGCCCCGCCGCCCGCGCCCCACTCGGGCCCGACACCCCGGTCCCGGCCCAGGCGGAGACATGACAAATGGTCCCCCGAGTCAACGCTGACAGCTTCTGATGATTAATGGTTTGATTATGAAGTGGTTTTACACATAGAGCATTTACATCACAGAGAGTTAGAAATTGTGCCGTGTCACACACGCCGCGGCGCCGGGAAGAGCTTTCGTGTTTGCCCAGAAAAAAGCAGGGCGAGATCGTGCCGAAGCCGTGTCATGTAAAATCAATACGCCGGATCAATGCTTTATTAACAAGAAAATGTCTTACTTCACATTCCTGTGCGGACCTTTGTCTCCGGGACGGATGATGGAATGTCAAATCGGATCGCGGTCCCCAACTTTGGGGCCGTGATCGAGAGCGCGCCGCGTCTGCCACGTCGCCGTGGGTGTCGACGCCGGCCACCCGAGTGCGCGGGGATGACGACGGCGACCAGTTGTTTCCGGAAGCTCCTTCAGAGGCGGCCTCTCACCTCCGTCCTCCAGCCGGAGCGGAGCCTCCCTGCAGCCGGCCGGCGGACCGCCGAGCGAGCAGGGTGGCGTTAATCATCAAGTTACGCGCAGACTAACGAGCGTCGGCCCCAGCGGCGGCCCCAACGGCGGCGGCGGGGCGCGTGCTGCGGAGAGGGCGGCGGGTCTTATTAGCCTCAGAAACGCCCCTGATGGATGTCGCGCCGTGCGCCGTGGCGTGGCTCCGCGGCAAACTGTATCTGCATCGAGAAGTAATGCACTCTAATAAGTATTTCCATCTTCGCCCGCGTCCCCGGGCCTGCGGGCCCCCGCGTCTGCGGGAGTCGGGCAGAGCCATAATAAAGCCCAATGGCTCCTTATAAAGCTTGTTAAACACAGCCTGTGCAGTCGGACGGAGTCCCGGCCGTGATTCATGCACTGTACCCAGCGCGCGGGCCGCTGATTTATCGCCGCGCACAGTTCATAGTCAAAATTACAATTTGAGGGATAAAAAGATTAATTACTATTTGTGGCCGGCAATTTCGCGGGGCTGGTGGAATGATAGCGCCCTACATCAGCTTGTAGTCAGCCATTCACAGATTATTAAAGCCCAGCAAGAGCGAGTGCTCCTCCTGCCCGGCGCGCTCCGGCAGTCTGCGAGACGGAAAAGGGCCACAGGGATAAATCTGGAGCCGGCAATAGCCGGGCATATGTCATAATTGCCAGTTCCCCATAAATCCCCGGCCGGCGTGGAAGGCTCCGCGCCGTGTGGACAGTGATCGTGGCGGCGGTGATTGCTGTCTGCAGCCCCGGGACCCGCGGCGTCCCGACGGCCCGGCCATTTCCACAATAGATGGAGTCACCCTTTGACTTTCTCCCGGTCTAATTATAGATTAGGAATAATCACGGCTTTTACGTGCGGAAGAAACGGGGAGAGGTCCGTTCCTTCAGCCAGAAGGAGCGCCCAGGTGCCGGGCTCCCTGAGCACCGGGGGGTGGGGGGCTGTGGGTGCCTCCGTGAGCGTGCCGTGGGCGCATGTCCGTGGCCCGGACGCCACTAACCTGACCTCTGTCTCTGTGTCCTGTTACAGCCCTCAACGAGCCGACCATAGATTACGGTTTTCAGAGGTTGCAGAAGGTGATCCCGAGACATCCGGGCGACCCCGAAAGGTTACCCAAGGTCAGTAAAAGGGCACGGGGTGTCCCGCTCACGGTGGGGGTGCCACCGGGCCGGCTCCGATCTGGGGGCAGCAGGGGCTCTGGGGTGGGGGCTCCTGGATGCCCCGAACCCCGTGGCCGAGGCCAGGCCGACAGGTGCCTGGCCCGGCTCAGAGGCGGGCGGAGGGCGTGGGCAGG